AACAACAACACATGTGAGGTTTTTTTTATTATTACTAGTGTTAAATTGAGGAAATATAAGAAAATACTGAGGTCCCGTGATGGTTCAGTCAGTATTTTTTCACCATTGGATACACAAGTGGATTATGTTGTGTACATAATGTACGATAACAAATACTGACGGAACCATTCCGTCAACGACATTGTAATTATTTCAGGAAAGCTAAAATATATATTCATTTGAACGAATAAATATAAAGAAAGTAGTCATCAGCGGTCATTAAATGTGGGCTAGCATTGGGAATCTAAACAATTTAGTTAGATTAAATAATTTACTAAAAAAAACAATTTAGTATTTGAGGTTACTACTAGGGGTGAGCAAAATCGAGCCGAAACCGAAAAATCGAACCGAATCGAGCAATTCGGTGCGGATCGGTGCAGTTTTTTAAGAGTTCGGTTAACGGTGCGGTTTGGATTTTGGAAAACCGCAAAAATTTCGGTGCGGTTCGGTTTTCTGTCCGAAAGGTGCGGTTTTAACCGAACCGCACCGCATTTCATAAAGTGTCATTTACTTTTACACTTTTACATATAAAATACAATGAGCACTTTTAATCTTTTATTTTTAAATTTAAAATATAAAACTTCAAATAAAATCAACCCTAATTCATTCTATCCCCTCAACCCCGCTCCCGTCTCTCAACCTCCGCCGCTCACTCAGTTGGCGTTTTCACTTTTCACCCTCAAGCTCCGCCGCTCTGAACCCCTCGGCCCTTACTCTCACCATCCGGAGTTCTCGAGTCTCGACATCGCTCTCAGTCTCTTACCGTCAGCTCGCTCGTCTTCCACCGGCTTCGTCAGTTTAGGTCAGCTCTTACTCACTCTCTCGATTTTTTTTTCATTCTCTCATTTCGATTCGTTCTCTTTCTTCACTTTTTGTAGAGGCCTGAGAATCAAAAAGTGTTTTTTTCCTTCTCTCATTTGGATTCTTCAGTCCTTCTTCAGTTTTTGTGGCCTGAGATACAAAAAGATGTTATTGGATGCTTAATTTCTTTAGTTTTTCTTCAGCTCTCACCAAAAGATTTTTATTGGATGCTTAATTTCTGAGAATTGGATGTAAATCTTCAAATAATTATATTTATATCCCTAATTAATTTCAGCCCTAATTTCGAAATTCTTTTTGTATGTATAATTAATTTCAGCCCTAATTAATCTTCTCTCATTTCATAAAGTGTTGTACTTATTGTTGTTTGTTTTTGTTTAGAACATTGTTATTGAGGACCTGAGGCTGAGGTGATGGCGGATGATTCACCAACAGGAGGTCTACCATCCACGGATGACGGATCGGCTGCAAGTCAGACATCAAAATTAAAGAGGATCCGTCCGAGGAGTTCAAGTGCTGCAGCTGATGCTACTGCAGGTACCGGGATTGCAGGGGCTGGTAATAATACGAGAAGGTCGATAGCTTGGGATCACTTCAAAATTATTGTGGTTGAAGATGTTACCAGGGCTGAATGCAAACATTGCCAGAAAACGTATAAATGTGATACTCGAAGGAATGGTACATCTTCACTTCTTCACCATATCTCGGTTTGTAAAGCTCATCCAGATGTGGCCGAAAAAAAACAATTGAAATTGAATTTGCAAGTAGTAGCTGAGGGTGATGACATGGTAGGAAGCTTAACTAGTTGGAAATTTGATCAGGAAGCCATTAGGTTAGAACTAGCAAGAATGGTTGTTGTTGATGAGCTTCCATTTCGGTTTGTGGAAGGTGATGGTTTCAAAAACTTCATGTCGGTTACACAGCCTAGGTTTAAAATACCCTCTCGTTGGACTGTGTCACGAGATTGTTATCAATTATACCTAGATGAGAAGTTAAAATTAAGAAACTACTTCAAAATGTATGGAAAAACAATTTCTATTACCACAGATACTTGGACTTCCGTGCAAAAGATTAATTATATGTGTATCACTGCCCACTACATCGATGAAGAATGGAGCTTAAATAAAAAGATCATCAACTTTTGTCCCATTGAGAGTCACAAGGGTGAGGATTTAGGAAGACAAATAGATGGTTGTTTGCGTGATTGGGGAATCTCAAAGGTGTTTTCTATTACGGTTGATAATGCCTCTTCTAATAATACTTGTCTTACATATTTGAAAAGTAGATTGACTTCTCGGGGTTGTGCTTTTGTGAAAGGCAAGTTTCTTCATATGAGGTGCATTGCTCACATTATCAATTTGGTAGTGGTGGATGGGATAAATGAAATCAAACATTCCATTAAGAAGATTCGTCATGCGGTTTGATTTGTGAAACAATCTCCGGCTAGATTGGCGAAATTTCGGGAGTGTTGTAATGATGAAGGTATTGTGAGTAAAAGCTTGTTATGCTTAGATGTGAGCACTAGGTGGAAATCAACAAACTTGATGTTGAATGTTGCACAAAAGTTTGAGAGGGCATTTGAGAGGTATGAAATAAAAGATCCTTTCTTTAGACTAGAGCTCAAGCATGGACCACCGTCAATTGTTGATTGGGAAAATGCTAGAAGGATGGTTGATATTTTATCCCACTTCTACGAGCTAACGTAGAGGATTTCGGGCACATCTTATGTCACTTCAAATGAATTTTATCATGAAATTAGCTCGGTGAATTGCTTGTTAAGAGAATGGATTGCTAGCAATGATCTTGATATCAAAGCAATGGGTGAAAAAATGAAATCAAAATACAATAAATATTGGGGGGATCCGAAAAATGTGAATCATCTTATTTATGTGGCGGTTTTTGTTGATCCTCGCTACAAGTTGGAGTTCCTTGAGTACGCACTTTGCGAAGAGCATGGAGAAAAGAACGGTTCGGAGATATTCAAGAGTGTGAAGGGGAGTGTTCACGAGTTGTTTGAAGCTTATAAGTTGATTTATCAACCTCATTGTGCCACGTCAACACAATCGACGAATCGAGTTTCAAGTTTAAATGAATCCTCTCATCCCGATCTTTCAAAGAATAAATCTAGATATCACTTGGGGGATAAGTTCAAAAGGCACAAGATAGAGAGTGGTGAAGTGGAAAGCAAGTGTGACTTGGATGTTTACTTGAAAGAGAGTACTCTTGTTGTCGAGAAAGATGATTTTGACATTTTGAGGTGGTGGAAACTCAACCAAAGTAGGTATCCCATCCTCTCTTGTTTTGCACGAGATGTGTTGGCGATTCCCATCTCTACTGTGGCCTCGGAGTCCGCTTTTAGCACCGGCGGTCGTGTTCTTGATGATTATAGGAGTTCTTTAACTCCTAAAATTGTGGAGGCTCTTATATGTGCTCAAGATTGGTTGAAAAAAAAGAAATCCAAGTGGACCAAGCCCCTTGAAGAAAGCTTAGAAGACATTGCAAAAATAGAAGAAGGTACTCTAATGTATTGTGTTCTAATTTCACATTAATTGTATTATATCACTTGTAAATGTTGATTAACTTTTTAAATTTATTTTCTATGATAATAGCTTTGCAAGGTGTTGGGATTAGCGATGTCAATGACAATGAGAACACAATGGACTTAGAGGAATAGGAATGCAAGGTGTTTTCAATTTTTCTGTTCCGTTTTTATAAACTCTGTATATTTTTTGTCTATTTTCTTGTATAAATTTGCTGCTGATTGGTTGACTTTCGAAGGTTTTTTTATGATTTCTGTGTAATAGGGGTTGTTCTGCTGTTTGAGTGTTGCACTGCTGCTGTTGTTTCAGTTTGAGTGCTGCTGCTGTTTGAGTGATACTAGCCTGCAGCTGCTGCTTTTGTCACAATATTGCACCCTCTTTTGAATTAAGATGGCAATTCTGCCAAGACTTTTTATTTAGCAATTTATGGTCATTGTTATGGACTTATGGTCATTGTTATGGACTTTTCATTTATCAATTCTGCCAGGACTTTTTTATTTATCAATTCTGCCATGTTTAATGTTTAGTTTTGATTTTGTAATGGCATAATGATAATGAGATGTTGTTTGTATTTTTTTTTGTAATCCTTGTTTATTTGCGGTTAACCGAAAAACCGCACCGCACCGAACCGAACATTTCGGTTCAGTTTGGTTCGGTTTTTTGTTCTCTTGCGGTGCGGTGCGGTTAAGAAATTTCCAAAAATCGGTTTTCGGTTTTTTTGCGGTGCGGTTCGGTTTTTGACCGAACCGCACCATGCTCACCCCTAGTTACTACTAAGTATTCTAGATTAAATAATAAGGCAATTAGTACGTACGGTTTTGCTATGAAGCCAACAATTGGCTCCATAGTAGACCAATCTTAAATATACAACAAGTAAACAAACAAAAATTCAAATATTCTCAATCAAATTGCCACTACCAAATTTTTTAACAACTCAATGAAGATTAACATCTCTCTATATCTCAATCAACACATGAAGAGGATGTAATTATACAAATGATAATAATAATAATAATAATAATAATAATAATAATAATAATAATAATAATAATAATAATAATAATAATAATAACATATCTAGTTACCAATAATCCATCATTAAAAACTTTGGCTCTCAAGGATGGGTTACATTTTGAAAATTCAAAATAAATAAATAAATAAATAACCTTAAGTTCATTTTAAAAGTCTCAAACTCTAGCATTGCACAACAATGGAGTAAATGGCCGTGCGTTACTCTGCGATCTATGAACTGACTCAAAATCCAAATTCGTGCAAAAGACAATCTTCGAGGACTCCTATGGTCCGATGTCGCTAAACCTCTCCTCATCCTCCTCGACAAGTTAGAAGATGCCGGCAAAAAAGTTGGCCCCGCATGGCAGGACAGGACTAGGCCGCAGGGGGGCTGGTGCATGAACTCCTCCTCCGTCCGATCAAGGAGGGCGACGAAGACCGGGAGGTTGAGGAATTGGGTGGGGAACACGAATCGGACATACTCTGTGCTGGCAAAAACTGCGATGGATCTGGCTGGGGCGCAGCAACATCAGCTCGTCGTGATCGGACCAGCCGCAACGGGTGATGATTCTGTTTCACCTGTTAGAATATTTGTGAGTGTAAACCACCTCAACCTTCATTTGCTAAACCAATCCAACTAATTGGATAATTTAATACGTGAGGAAATAATGTTGGTGGCCATCTTACCAAATTCACACCCAACCTCAACAATTTTCTGCCTAACACCACCAGCTTGAAGTCATCATCATACTATATATATGTGTGTGCTTCAAGAAGGAAAACATAACAATAGAGAGAAAAAGAACACGGCAGAAAGAAAGAAAAGAAGAAAAAAAAAAAAAA